CCCCGCCATTCGCATACCATACGATAAGGTACTAGATACCAGCTTATATCGAGATTCGCAACGAATAAGATCATATAACTGTGTTAACGATCGTCAGGAATATCAATAACTCACTTTGAACGCCGGAGGAGGGCTTTTCATCTATAGAGGGTATGGGGGGGAGTCCGATGCGATGGGTTACGTGCTGACTCATCTAGTCACTTACTGCGTGGGAATGCAAAGCTGCCAAATCGCTGAAGTTATCGGGTGCACCTTCCTGTAGTGAATTCCAACACTGTTATCTCGTTTCATGCGTCCTCGCCTCAGATTCAGTCCCTTACCCAACTCGACCAGCATGAATCCGATGCTTCACATTTTTCACAAAAGCAAACTCATTCAAGTTCGACGGCAACATTGTCCTCGTTATAATGCCCGGCTGCTGTTCATTATCTCGTCTCTCACCTCCTCCCTTCCATTCGTTCGGTAGGTGTCCTTGGACCATGCCGGACGAATCGGCCCTCAATTCGACGAGCCGATTCTTTGCTCGTCTCAGGCCGTCCGCGGCACTGGTGGTCTGTTTCCCTTCTTTTAGGCTGAGCCAGGCGAGCGCATGGTGGGTGCCTTGGACGCTGGATCAAGCAATGGTTTGGTTCATGAACCTGTCTTTGGCCCGATTGCTGGGGTAAGTGACTGTTAAGTTGATAAACTCGTTGACGGTCTGATCGTTGACCCTGGTTTCTTTGCGTGTCCCCTAGTAGTTGAGAGGCCAGCCGTCATACGCTCTGCGAACTGTGCACTGCGATGAGGTGGGACTGCCTGTGCCTCCGCGCCTACTCACCCTCGCATAGACACAAGGTCTAGCACCCAGGACACTCCCAATTTTTTGTAATATCATCAGGACATTCGAACATCTCAGTGGGTCCTTTTCAGCTAGAGGATTGATTACACTCCGGTCGTACCTCGAGATTGTTGTTAGGAAAAAAAACAATTAGGATGAACATTTCGGCGATGTTCACAATGATGTACTAAGGTAGAAATTGACCAACCACAGCAGTCCTTCCCCTACTATATCATAGATATCATGCTCTACCGCGTATTCTTAATAGCAACCAAAAAATTGCGGTCACGACGAATGTGAAATGTAATATGTTGCAGTAGGCAGTTGGTGGGCAGCGCTGAATATCAGTGAATCCACGAGTTCACAATATTAACACAAACTGCAAACATGACGCGTGATGGCAACTCGGCCACACGGTACACCACGGCCTTCCTTATTGGGCTGTTTTTTGCGGATGGGCCCGACAACACTGAAACAGACAAATGGCAGCAGGTCTATAAACAACTTCCCACTTTGAGTGAGCGCTACTCAAACCTCTATCTTCCGCGAGCGCAATCGATCTGTTTTTGTTTTCTTTTTTTTGTCGTGTCAAGTTGAGTTGTCACCAGTAGCTGGGGCTGCGGGTGTGAAAACATGATGTAGCAGGCGCCGAGTGAAGTTCCTTACAAAGGAGGTCTGTTATCTACAGCGAACTGGCGAGATATTTGAAACTTATGAGTTTGTCAAACCTTTTCTTTTTCCAATGTCTCCTACAACCATGTTCTCCCCAGGGCCTACGCTGCGCGGACATCATTTTACAGGGGTGCGAGGTCACAGGAAAGAGCGGCCTTGACTACTTTCAGGCGCTTGAAAGCGAACTGCAGGGGGCACAGACTATGCACTCCAGGTTCCCCGAGCCTCTGAAAGCCGCTTTCCTCAAGGCCATGCCGAGAATCAAGTCTCATCTTGATCAGTGCCATCTCCGCCTCACGGAATTGCTGACGATGACGCAGTTCAAATTCACAAGATTGGTGGAGACTTAAAGATCCCAGCGAAGGAAGGATTGGTCCGTGCTGACCCCCCTTATGTACGCCTACAAGGTGCAGATACTTGAAGAGCAACACGAGAAGAGTCACGAGAAAGGAATGGCTGCATTGAAAGACAAAGTTAAATGGAGCGGTAGCTTTATGGATGTCCAGTGCAGCATCATGAGGTTTGTGGCCCTCGTTAACATGAACAAAACTGACCACGTCTTGTTGTAGCTGCGATCACCTTGCATTCTCAAAATCTATTATTCGTCGCTTTATCCGTGACTGTGTTGATCGTGATGCTGCACGTTCTCCACTGCTTCCACACAATGTTCTCATCCCACGCGAGGGTCCCATCCTACATGAGGCTCCTTTACACTGTGACATGCACGAGCTTCCCAGTCATCCTCGCGAGCCATCTGTGCCATTGCGAGAGCCTCTGCTTCATCGTGATCCCTCCGTGCACTCTTGTGATCCCTCTGTGCACTCTCGTGATCCCTCTGTGCACCCGCGTGATCCCTCCGTGCACCCGCGTGATCCCTCTGTGCACCCGCATGATCCCTCTATGCACCCTCATGAGGGACCCTCCTACCCACACGATGTTGCTCACTATCATGATGCGCACGACACACCCTATGATCGGAATGGTCCCCCTCACATCCACCCTCATCCTACTGGTGTCCTCAATCCCCATGGCCTTCCATGCACCCGTAATCCCAAAGAAGCTCGGTATGGTCGTGCACCTATGGGATACAACCATCCAGGTTATCTTTCTCGTTACAACTCACCTGCTGATGGATATAACGACCACTATGATGACTGCAGGCATCCACCAGACTCCTACTATCAAGATGTGCGCAGTCATGACAGGAGGTACTATGGAGATAATAGTAGATGGCCAGACCACCGCTGATACCTTTTGTGCTTGTTTTTTTGACTAACTTTTCTTTCTCGCCTTTTAATTTTGGTGTCTGTGCCTCTTGCCTTTTTAGTGTAGTGACTGTCATTTTGTTACCTCATGCTTCGCCTCAGATTGGATGTAGTGCCTCCTCCTGAATATATTGTGTTGGTGTTTTCGTGCTCGCACCTGATGAATGTTACATGCTGCCTCCTGAGTTTTTGTCCCCAATCTTTGGTTATTTTAAATTGACTGATTAAAATCAATTAAGACACGAAAAAAACACGCTATTGAGGAATCAAACTCAAGACTCCCACATGGACCTCGCCAACGATACGAGACACTAATACCACATTGCCATAAGACCTCAAAATGTGCAGAGCGCACATATCATATAATGGCACTTTGCATGCCAATGCTTCTATCAATCATCGGCACACCATCAGCTTCAACGACTTTATCACTTCTATTGATTATTGATGAGGGCACGCCTCCGAGTTATCTCAATGTGTAAGTTATTGATATTTTTCTTCTACGCTCCTCCCTCTCACCATATATTTGTTGCATTGATGGATTTCACGCAACTTGACTGTGTTCTCGAACGTATCACATCACGGCACAGGGTGCAAGCGCAGGAAGTGTTGGACAAGTGGTTGGAGAGACGACGGATTGGTGATCCTGATGGATGGAGGCTGCTTGACGGTATACCTTGCATTATTGGGGGGCTGACAGGACTTCTCGGTAAGTGTGCTCATCAGATCACAGGTAGAATAGCTAAATATGTTACAGGATCACTCGAAGGGCGAGGGGGCAACTTTCCCTGGAAAACGTTACCCACCATCCTAGCCCGTCGTGGCTATATCCTCGAAAACTACCCGGAAAACATACTAATGCCCGGTGAAAGACGTTCAACACTTGCAAAGAGCAAGGGCATACACGACCTCTCTATCCACGAGTGGCACATCCTTGCAGATGCCCTCAAGAATAATGCCCTCACCGTCAAAACTGTCGCAACAGACGCCCTCGAAAACCTCATGGCTTCACGTGTCCCTGTCATCATTGGAGAAGCGCCCTCCGCAGATTCTCGTCACACTCGTGGTCGACAAGGGTTTGCTGATGGACAGATTGATAGGCTTGGATTGAGCCATCTGGGCAATACTTCTCCTCCAAAATCTTGTGCTGTGTCGTCTAAGCGGCGGAGACTTTGCGTGTTCGTAGAGGTACCACAGGCCCCACCCTCCTGGAGGTTGAAAGCGATACGGCGACGCTCACTAAACTTTGGACCCAACTATAGCGACCTTATCCCACAGATTACCGCCATCAGGAATGATGAAGTGGGGGTTGGCACTATCAAGGATGGTGCTATTGATGATGAAGAAGCCGCCAATGATGCCACCACCAAGGACGAAGAGGAAATTGACGAGCTTTTTGCGTCACAGGAAAGGACGTGATCTGTGTAAGCCTCTCGAGCCTCCATTCAACCCTCGCAAACCTCTATTCAACCCTTGCAAGCCTCTCTCTTCAACCCTCGCAAACCTCTCTTCAACCATCGCAAACCTCTCTTCGACCCTTGCAAACCTCTCTTCAACCTTCATCACATCCTCACGAGCCTCCCTTCCGCGGCATGTACTAACCATCAGCATCTGTGCACGTGATCTTGTTGATTCGAGTGTTGGTGTCGCGTGTTGCCTTTTATCTTACTCTTTGTCTCTTTACCGCTGTCTGAGATGTCTTCCCCGCGCCTCACAAAGTCACATTCTCGAGTACAATACATGTTTGCCTGGGATTCGTGGTTATGAGATTAGGAGATGACGAGGATAGATGGCCTGACAGAGAGGGATAACGGGTGTGTATTTTCTTCGTAGTTTGAATGTGTTTTTGTATCCCTTTCGCGTGCATGGCTTTTCTTCATGTTGTTAGTCACTGTCTCTGTCCGCCTTTCACGTCAAATATATTGCCTTTCGCGCAATTGGATTGATGTTCACCAAATTCCAACATGTATTGCAAAACATATAGATCAACTATTTTAAACAGCGAGGGCGCACGGCCTCGCGTGGTTGGTTCCTACCCTCGCAAGCCTCTGGGAGCACGGAGACAATACACAAAGGAAAAGGCATGTACCTCTTGCGGCAATTACAGGGAGCCTCCGTGGAGAGGCATACCTCACAGGTGGGTTCCCTGCAACATAGAAACCCCACCTGATAGACCGTGAGACGGGCGCTTAAGTGCTGCCAAGGGTGGCCTTAGCAGGAATAGGATGTTTACAAAACGTACATTACACAGAGTTGACAGCTCTTCGGTTTGTTCACATCATGTAGGGCTCTCGAGAGACATTGTGACCAGAAGATTTAGTTTGGGTGCTGCGTCTCGCTTCAGGAAGCTTTGCACTTGTGTTGAGATCCTGCTCTTAGTGATTAGACAACGACAATTGTCGAGATTTCTATTACTTACAGAAAAGTGTTTGCGCATACCAGGAGCGATATGATTCCACCACTTTATGAATGAATTCTTCAGGGCTAGTTCCCGAACACCCTTATGGTTTAGCCAAGCGAGGAACTCGTCAAGCTGCAAAGCCAAACGGTCAACAATGGTCAACAAAACGACAGCTAAAGGAGAATACCTCCTCGGGCTCAGCATACTGTGCCCACTCGGATGGAGCCAACATTCCCTCTGGCCCTTCTTCTTCAAGCCTCTTAGCTTCATAGTCATCATCCTCCTTCTTTAACATCAACTCCAAGTCCATCACGCTCGGACCCTGTATAAAGATTCGACCAGCTTCGTACTGGACGACGCCTCCACTACCCAGCAAAGAAGCAGATCCCATGCCGTCGAACCACCAAATCTGATTATGGAACCGGTCCTTTCCCAATGGTTTGACTCGCACCGCACCAAGTAGCTTCCTGAACTCTCGTTCAATCACCTCTAATTGACGCTCGAGCTTATTAACCTCTTCATCGAGTCTGCGATGTTCTGCAAGTGCTTGCTTCGCAGAGGCTGCTTGAGCGCGAGCAAGCTCTCGTTGCTTCGCATGTGCCTGAGGATGGGCTTTCTGACGAAGATCTTTCTGACGCGCTGATCTCTTTTGGCGAGCACTAGAAGTTGATGCGGTCTCCGAGCCATCTTCTGAAGGAACGTCCGAAAGATCACTGGACTCATGCATCGTAGTATCTTCGTCTGGAACGACACTGTTGGTCCCAAGCTCCTTCACCTCCATTTCCCCAGCAAGGGAATTCATTTCCTCAGTGCTGAAAAAGGACGTTGAATGGAAATACCGCTGTGCGCCAAAGCGAACGCAACACATAGTAACGCTCACTGGGTGAGGAGTGGACACTTAAGATGTTTGCGGCAGGACTTGAAACACGAGAACTTGACGATGAAGACAAAGCTTCTGCATGTAGTTCCGGGGCAAAGAATAATCTTGTCAAGATTTCTCGTAGACGAGGAAAGTTGTCGAGTGTGGCATGCTATCAGAAATGAGCATCGAATATGAATAATAGGCTGAAATCACTTCACATCTTTTAGGCATCCTAGAAGAGCCTCCTCCCACCCGTCTCGCATCTCATTGTGCCACAAGGGAATCCATTCCCAGTTGTTCCCTATGTCAGCCATGGCACCAGCTAACTCATCGATTGAAACACCAAGCACTCTATAGTCCCCTTCTGGTGTATCTTGGATACGCAGTAACAACAGGACGGCACTATGCCGAGTAAATGGCACTGTGCGTAGGTTGTAAATGAGCGTCGAGTGAATCTCTCCTAGTAGTGCGCAAGGCGGGTCTACGAGAGAATGCCGCAAGGCATGTTCAAACTCATACATTGTAAATGTTGATAAGTGGAGTGGTTGCCTGCGATAAACTGTTAGATATTCATATGCAACTATTTGCGACTGTTCACTTACCCATAAATGGCCAGGAAATTCCATGCCGTTAAAAATGCTTCAAAAGTACCCTGATTCTCGCCAAACGGAAGTCCCAATTTACTTGGTGTTGGCTTTTTGACCTTCAAACCCACTTTCTTCTCCTTGTCGTTAAGCCGAACATCCAGATCTTCAGTAGGGTAGTGAATGGGTTTCTTCTTCTTCTTCTCTGCAGCCAGACGCTCAGCCTCTTGTTTTGCCTTTTGTTGACGCTCTGCCTTTTCACGAGCTTCGCGCTCACGCTTTTCAGCTGCAACAGCCAAGACTTTCATTGTTACAGTAATCAGCACCAAGTATTATCCAACATAGCGCAATGTTACCTCTTTCCTCCTGAGCAGCAGTCATCTTCTTCTGCTTCTTGGTTGGTGGTCCTTCCTTGTCCTCCCATATCTTTCCGTGTTTCCTCTGGCATCACAGAGTCGACACCATAGTGCTTCGCAATAACAGGTTTTACCGTCCATGGCGAAGCGACAGCAGCATCACGATCAACACAGTCACGGATAAAGCGACGAATAATAGATTTTGAGAATGCAAGGTGATCGCAGCTACAACAAGACGTGGTCAGTTTTGTTCATGTTAACGAGGGCCACAAACCTCATGATGCTGCACTGGACATCCATAAAGCTACCGCTCCATTTAACTTTGTCTTTCAATGCAGCCATTCCTTTCTCGTGACTCTTCTCGTGTTGCTCTTCAAGTATCTGCACCTTGTAGGCGTACATAAGGGGGGTCAGCACGGACCAATCCTTCCTTCGCTGGGATCTTTAAGTCTCCACCAATCTTGTGAATTTGAACTGCGTCATCGTCAGCAATTCCGTGAGGCGGAGATGGCACTGATCAAGATGAGACTTGATTCTCGGCATGGCCTTGAGGAAAGCGGCTTTCAGAGGCTCGGGGAACCTGGAGTGCATAGTCTGTGCCCCCTGCAGTTCGCTTTCAAGCGCCTGAAAGTAGTCAAGGCCGCTCTTTCCTGTGACCTCGCACCCCTGTAAAATGATGTCCGCGCAGCGTAGGCCCTGGGGAGAACATGGTTGTAGGAGACATTGGAAAAAGAAAAGGTTTGACAAACTCATAAGTTTCAAATATCTCGCCAGTTCGCTGTAGATAACAGACCTCCTTCGTAAGGAACTTCACTCGGCGCCTGCTACATCATGTTTTCACACCCGCAGCCCCAGCTACTGGTGACAACTCAACTTGACACGACAAAAAAAAGAAAACAAAAACAGATCGATTGCGCTCGCGGAAGATAGAGGTTTGAGTAGCGCTCACTCAAAGTGGGAAGTTGTTTATAGACCTGCTGCCATTTGTCTGTTTCAGTGTTGTCGGGCCCATCCGCAAAAAACAGCCCAATAAGGAAGGCCGTGGTGTACCGTGTGGCCGAGTTGCCATCACGCGTCATGTTTGCAGTTTGTGTTAATATTGTGAACTCGTGGATTCACTGATATTCAGCGCTGCCCACCAACTGCCTACTGCAACATATTACATTTCACATTCGTCGTGACCGCAATTTTTTGGTTGCTATTAAGAATACGCGGTAGAGCATGATATCTATGATATAGTAGGGGAAGGACTGCTGTGGTTGGTCAATTTCTACCTTAGTACATCATTGTGAACATCGCCGAAATGTTCATCCTAATTGTTTTTTTTCCTAACAACAATCTCGAGGTACGACCGGAGTGTAATCAATCCTCTAGCTGAAAAGGACCCACTGAGATGTTCGAATGTCCTGATGATATTACAAAAAATTGGGAGTGTCCTGGGTGCTAGACCTTGTGTCTATGCGAGGGTGAGTAGGCGCGGAGGCACAGGCAGTCCCACCTCATCGCAGTGCACAGTTCGCAGAGCGTATGACGGCTGGCCTCTCAACTACTAGGGGACACGCAAAGAAACCAGGGTCAACGATCAGACCGTCAACGAGTTTATCAACTTAACAGTCACTTACCCCAGCAATCGGGCCAAAGACAGGTTCATGAACCAAACCATTGCTTGATCCAGCGTCCAAGGCACCCACCATGCGCTCGCCTGGCTCAGCCTAAAAGAAGGGAAACAGACCACCAGTGCCGCGGACGGCCTGAGACGAGCAAAGAATCGGCTCGTCGAATTGAGGGCCGATTCGTCCGGCATGGTCCAAGGACACCTACCGAACGAATGGAAGGGAGGAGGTGAGAGACGAGATAATGAACAGCAGCCGGGCATTATAACGAGGACAATGTTGCCGTCGAACTTGAATGAGTTTGCTTTTGTGAAAAATGTGAAGCATCGGATTCATGCTGGTCGAGTTGGGTAAGGGACTGAATCTGAGGCGAGGACGCATGAAACGAGATAACAGTGTTGGAATTCACTACAGGAAGGTGCACCCGATAACTTCAGCGATTTGGCAGCTTTGCATTCCCACGCAGTAAGTGACTAGATGAGTCAGCACGTAACCCATCGCATCGGACTCCCCCCCATACCCTCTATAGATGAAAAGCCCTCCTCCGGCGTTCAAAGTGAGTTATTGATATTCCTGACGATCGTTAACACAGTTATATGATCTTATTCGTTGCGAATCTCGATATAAGCTGGTATCTAGTACCTTATCGTATGGTATGCGAATGGCGGGGCCGGTATAAATTCTGAGCAAAAGCACGGTTGCACGATTTACGAGGCATGTCCCGGTCTCCTCAACCGTATCTCCTTACTAAAATCATACTCACAGGAATCACGATCATGCTAAAAACGTTCAATTCGTCATGAATGTTACTGTCAGACATAGACGATAAGGTGTGTTTATCTGACAAACTATATTCAACATGAACTCCATTCGTATTCAGCCCCAGGACATACTTCATCGAACGAGCATCTCATCCGATGCGTTCGTGTGTTCGGTCATTGCACATATTAGCTCATGCATGGGTATGTGTGGTCCATCTTTGTTCAAGTTTCACTAGCCGTTCTCATGGAATATCACAGATTACTCCTCTCAAGCCATTTTCAGGCGAGACGAGGCGCCATAGCATACTCAGGACGCTCAGGCTTTCCTCTCGTCTTCCTCTCCTTTTCGTGGTCCTACTCTCACTCCGATTCTGCATCATCCGCACAAGACTCAGATCCCAAGCGCTTGCTCACAGACTAACCACGCCACCATTGACCGCACGAATCACAATTCACGCTTTCTGTGAATAATTTTGGCAAGGGAAAGGTCCATCGTCAGCGACCCTTGCTAGATTTGGGCACTTTGCTATGCTCGGTTTGTACATAGTTGCGCGCTGGATGGTTATATCACGACCATATCGCAGAGATTCGACGTGATGATGTCCGTGCCAAAGGTCTGTTAACCGTTGTTCTTGATCATCAATGTCTTTCAAATAAGGATTCGATCTCATCGTTGTCAGGCAAGCACACTAGTGGAACGTCGTCGTATGTTCAAGTGGCAGCGACAACATGTTTGCAAAGACAGTGGAATAATGTGATAGGAGTGATTGATTCGGACGCGAAAAACAGTTTGTTTCCCGAAATTATTTGAGGTCGTGAGCGCGTGATCCAGGTGGACGTGAAAGACATCTTTGGAAAATAATGTTGCCATTCGGTCCGCCTCGACTTCGGTGGGGCATATAACAAGAATTAGTTCTGTCTCTGGGCCTGTCATCGCTACGTAGCAAAGACAGTGCATGTGCATAGCATATGAAGTTGGATGGTTCGTGGTAGTGAATCACTACCCGGATATGTGTAGGATTGAGGTTTGACGGAAGGGCAAAGAAGGAGAAGAGAATACGGCGGTCGCCGCGTGATGCCTTCCAGGCTTGAAGTACGGCAGCCTTGCGGTCCTGATCCAGGTGGACGTGGAAGACATCTTTGGAAAATAATGTTGCCATTCGGTCCGCCTCGACTTCGGTGGGGCATATAACAAGAATTAGTTCTGTCTCCGTCGTGAGATCCTGGAGGCTATTATTGAGACAGGCTGACAACGGGCCTTCGAGATCGTTACTCAGAGGAGCCTCAAAAGCAGAAAAATGAATATTCCGAAGATCCGTCCGACCACGACAGAGCTGGGCCACAAGAGGATCCATTTTGAAATATGCCAGGAGCTTTGGGGTAGCTGTTAGGGCTATGGCGTAAGTGAGCAGGATAACAGGCAATCTCAGTCGCTGGAGACGCTCGCAATTAGCTATCGCACACTGATATTCCCAAGCTTGAAAAGCGTATTCTGCTTGACCGACGATTATCCTCGAAAGAGATCCCTTTGCATTCTCCAAGAAGGTCCAGAAGCTCGTACTCTCGAGGCTCTCGTAACTGACCAATATAGCTCGCGCACTGTGATTGCCGAGTCCTGGGGACCAGATCACCGCAGAAAGGTCTTTCCTTTCGAATTCAGCCTTGAGCTCTCGAATGGGCTCTAATCCTGGCAGCACGACAACTGAGATGAGACCGACTTCCTCTGGACAGACCGCAGGGAGCAAATAAAATAAGCTCCTATCCTCTCTCAAACCCAGCATAATGACGGCATGCACCTCCCGTCTCATGAGAACCTCCACCGCTTCTGCCTGTTCTAGAGATTGAAACATTGCCTGGGGACCCATGAGAGCCCGGAGGTCCCTGAATCGACTGGAACTAATACACGGGAGGTTCTTATTTGCAGCCGGGCCTACGGGCAATTGGTCGATGGGTGGGGTATTCAAAGAGGGTCTTGAGAAGGGAGAGCAGACAGCCATGCCATCAGCAATGGCGCGATGGATGATCGGGAGCATGGATATGCTGAGATAGGGTGAGATAACCCGGGAGAAAGAGTTAAAGTCAATCTGCTGCGTGTTAACATAGGATAAAACAGGAGGAGATGCGGGAATAGCTGGGGTTGCCAGAGGGAAGAGAAGGCCGTGATGAGCGCAGCTAAGGGCCACAAACTTTTGCAGGTGCTCGCTTGAGACGGATTGTACAGTGGAAATGCGACAAAAGTGGTCAGAACCTTTGGGACGAACGTGAGGTACGCTATCATCAACCGAGCAGCTTCCGGAGGCATGCTCCGCGAAATAACCCGCTCCTTCTCCTGGTTGGTCTGAGTCTTGTTATAGCGTGATACGAAGTTCAAATGGCCAGATAGGATCCAGTCTTTGACCGGACAGCTTGACGCAGCCGAAGATGAGAAAGAGCTTGCCTGTACATTCAAGGAGCATTGAGGGCAGGTGCTGGGGGCGTGGACAGACAAGAAGTTGGCTCCGACTGGTGTCTCGATCTGTCTGTAAAGTAACAGGCTTGTGCTTGAGGTTGGTGCGAAGAGATAAAAGTTTGAAAAAAGAACGATGGGGTGATATCCTGTACTACGTGATGTAAGGATTCATAGATACTGTTGGATTTCATTCTTAGTGATATGATTTGACATACATATATCTGTACTCAACATGGAAATCCCGCAGTTACTGAGTGCTTGCTCAACAAACTCGTCGACCATTCAGACAGACACAGGTGAGTCACCGTCATAGAATACTCCTGCAGTATTCATTACTCCATTGTAGCGTTGACTGCTCTTCACTCTACCGATTCAGACGCAACATTCGACCGCTCTTCACTCTACCGATTCAGACGCAACATTCGACCGCTCTAAGTCGCTCAACAAACCACCCCAATGTCACAAGCTTCCACATCATTCGACCTCTATCTTTGTCGTCCTTCACTCAGCTCGACAGGTTTCCCGCCTGAAGGCGGTCGCACCTACGACCTTGTCAAAGACCTCCTCAAATCAGAGCTCGAAGGCCACGTCATCTTCGAGGCCGACCTGAACATTCAATGGAGTGCTAGCATTTTCCACCAATTGGTTCTGAAATCTTCGTTGAAGATCAAGGATGTTACAGGGATCACATACTACGGCCGAGATAATGGGCCACGGGTGTATGTCCGGGGCGCGTGGAGCTTCAATCGCCAAAAAAAGCCTAAATTTAACGATCAGACCGACGATTCTGGGTCAAGCGACTACAATCATACATCCACCAACACAGATACATACGTTGACACAGATGCTGAGACCTCAGATCCGGGGATAACCTCTCAGGATACGGACGCCACCTGGAGCCGCGATGAATACGATGGCACCCCAAACCTAGGATCGAAGAGGGGACGTAAAGCGTCATCGACCGAGAAAGACTTGCAGTACCTTTTCAAAGCCATTCAGTATGCCCTGCGCCGTAAATCGCACATTCGAGCCAAACTTTCCTTCGAAATATCGGACATCGAACGATACTGGTCTGCAGAGTTTTCTAACTCACCGATACCAGACCCCTATAATGCACAAAAGCCTGACCTCGCTTTATTCTATTACAAGAGTAAAGCTTGCGTGAAAGCGTGGACAGACGTCCTGAGCTTTGTCGAGCATACGTACTCTGACTTTGGCAAGAGGCGTGATTTAGGAGTGTACTGGGGGTCTACCAATAAAGCTTATCTCATTATGCGAGACCAGCCCTGGCGTCGCTTCGTCGTCTCATTCTCTATATGTGCGGAACAGCTTCGCGCCCATTATTGCGACCGCTCGGGCCTCATCATAACTCTTCCGACTCCCATCCAATCGTGCCCCACCGATGTCGTCGATACAATAGCTACCCTCTCGTTAGCGGATCCGAGCCTTTTGGGTCTCGACCCCACCATCCATATGTGCATAACTTCGTGCAAGGGCACTCATACCGACCTAGTAGAGGGGGCAATCGGTTGGGTAGATAACAATTTTAAAAGAAGATACACGATTATGGCTGTTTTGTGGAAGAGCCAGGGTCTATTTTGTCGCGGAACGGTTTGCTACCGCGTTTGGGATCCTGTAGACGGGAAGGAATATGCGATGAAGGATTGTTGGGTGACTGAGGCGAAGAGATACCACGAAGCGGACGTCCTTGAGAGGGTCAAGGGCATCCCTAATGTGGTCCAACTCATAGACCATTGGGATGTCCTGTTCAATGGAGAGCCCGACTGCACATCCCGCATCCGAGATGGATATGGTATCCTGCTTGAGAACAGACCGGACAAGAGGTTCTGTAACAGGTATCACCGGCGCCATGTCTTGAGCCCCTGCGGAGATCCGTTATGGGATTTCAGCTCCAGAAAGGAACTGATTTGCGCCTTTCGTGACTTCGTTGTCGGTGAGTCCAGTTTAATGCGTTTGATCTGTCGCATCATCTAACATTTTGACTATAGCTCATGAAGCGATGATAAAACGACGAGTTTTACACGGAGACCTTAGCCCAAACAACTTCATAATCCATCACGGTATCGGGTACTTCATCGATTTTGACCACGCGTCAATCATAAAGGAAGGCGAAACATTCACAGTCTCGTTCGGTACTGTAAGTTCGAACGTGATGATCCTGGTTCTCGCTGTCGATCGCTGATCTCAATTTTTCAGGGAACTATACCATATATTTCTATGCGCATTTTGAAGAAGATGTCAAAGAACGCCGACATCATCAAGAAGTCCAAGACGAACACCGACGCAAATAATAATAACATTAACAGCATCACTCAGCTGGAACTGGTTGAACACAACCCCAGTGACGACCTTGAGTCACTTTTCTACATTTTTTTCGAATTCGTTTCGAAGTACGGCGGGACACACGGTAAACTTGCTTTGACTTGGGATAAGACGAATATGCCGTGGGCCGATGCCTATGAGAATTTGGGCGGTACAAGCAGTTTGCTTGCCACATTTTTGGCGAAGAAGGGAGCTATGTCTGAAGGTGATATCCTGATTGATAGGGTATCCGACTACTTTGCAGACTTCAAACCTATCGTTGACGAATGGCGCACTCGAATTAATCACATGGCGTCAAATGCCGAAGAAATCATCGTTCACGACCATATCTTTCAAATGCTTGTCGGATTCATTACGAAACTTGACAGTAGTAAAGAAGAAACCCCATTGGACTCTCCGCTCCTTCCTGTAGCTCCTTTGAGTGCCCCAACTACTCATCGTACCGGGGCTCCCCCCGGGCCTTCCCTACGACGTTCATTGCGACTCAGCACAGGCCGGACCTAACAATAC